AAAAAAAAAAAAAAAAAAAAAAAAAAAAAAAAAAAAAAAACTAGAGCAGGTCACCCCTTCCTATATCGGATATTATGCTACAGTGGCTGCATAACGCATCACTCCTGAGAAATAGACGCATCACTCCTAAGAGATGGACGCTTTCTCATAGATCTCTTCATAATCACTCGCAGTCCATGGCAAAGGTCAGTGGACTCTAGGGAATCACAATGGGACCTTCATTCCATGGTTGTTTTTTTTTTTTTTTTTTTTTTTTTTAAGGTCGGTCATCCTGTACAATGATGCCTTCGTAGACCAGACAGATCATAATTAATATATATATATATAATATATATACAGGTGCGATCCAACTCCAATCAATGGTAGACCAAGACAAGTTTTTAACGGATCATCGGTTGGTAGCAGTTTAACGAAGACAAAGAAGGCTAGGGATATATATATATATATTTAAGAAAATAACATCAAAAATCATATTTCAATGATTGAATAAATAATATATAATGTATATATTAATCAATTATATATTAAATAATATATTTTGGAATTAATTTGATGACCTCGGTAAGTAACAATTAATTCAACAAATATAACAAGTGAAAAAGGAGATAGCGTGTGGAATTAAGGTTGTTTGTATAATCATTTACAATTTGCAAGGACTTGGGGCACTCAAAGCAGTTGCAAAATCAGTTATCTCAGCTCTGCCTGAGAATCCATGCGTGGTGCTTGTGGAGCTAGAAGAGCTAGAGCCTTGGTCTGATCAATTGCAGCAGTGCTGTTTCCAGCTGCAACATGCAAGAACCTTGGCGCAAAAACTTACATAGTTGCCGGAGGTTGCCGGCAAATGAGGTTGAACGGCCGGATAGCGGCTAACGCTCTGCTGCTGAATTCCTCATCGCAGGAAAGTGAGGCCGTCACTGGTCGACTTGGCCTCACGTCTGCAAGAGATTTCCGACGCGGTGAAGGTGGGCAGCAGTCTTCTAAGGTCACAGCAGTCCTCTAAAGCACCAATAATCTGAACAAACCCAACAAAAACCGCTCCTCACCACGGGGCCTAAACCATCAACATCAAGGGCCTAAAAAGGAGCGTCGTGGTTTTCTGGATCAATCAACTCAACGACTCGAGCCGGCAACCCAGGGTGTCCATCCATGTCCCATGTCGCAACTTAAATTGTGGATTCAAACAGAAACTGTTGTGCCTTCTTGGACTTCTTTTTCTTTTTCTTCTTTTTTGCCCTCTCCCTTTCCTTCTTCCTTGGAAGAGTTCGCAATGAGGGCATGAGTCGGTGTCTTTGGTGGGCCAGGAAAACCTTCTGCAAACAAAGGCACGATGCAGACTTGCCATCACCCTTCTTAGCCTCACGCAAGCTTGGGGATGCGAGGTCTTTGTTGAAGCTAAAAGAAGTAGGGAAAATCATCCACTTCGATATACTCGCGGATCGAGCCGAGGGTTTTCCATGGCAAACCCTCATCCCTCTCCACGGCCTTTTTCTTTGCATTTTCTTCTTTTGAACTTGTAACGTTCCCTCTGCTGCTTTCATCCTGGCAGAACTTTCACACACCTATATATACAGGCAATGGTGTTTGTCTGGCTGGCGTTGCTTTGCCAAATCTCCATCTCCAGCCCTCAAACTGTCAAACTTCTCCAAGCAACTTTGCATTCACATATTTAACGATTTTGATATATTCCCACCATTGTGATTGTGTAGGAACTCCAAGTTGACGAAAAAGTAGGTTTTGGTTTTACCATGTTTTGCCGGTTGACCGGTTTACCCACGACGACCGTCTCGCTGCGCTCGGCGTTTCTTCGGCCCGTCTTCTCTCGCTCCTCAAACGGCAAAGGCGCGCTGGCGCCATGTCTTTGCAACTTTGGGGTGACCTCAGTAGTAGCGTCCGACCGCTCTAGTAGCGATGCCAGCCCCTAGTAGCGTCCTTGCTCCTAATGAATTAGGACGTTCCAAAGAAAGGGATTCAAGGCCAACCCTCAAGTTGATGGGCCAAGAATCTGGTGGGCCACGAGAAAGAATGGCAATGGTTTGTTGCAGAAGAATTCTCTATAGACTCGAATTGGTGTTTGGATGGTCGGAATATGGCGCACCGGGCACTGGAACTCTGGAGAGTTACTCATACGAAAGATTGACCAACTCGAAACACGGTTTGGGCCCTGACCAGCTTGTCATACATCTTCCGCAAGGTTTCTTTGGGATTCGCCACTTTCATGGCCTACCACGTCAAGAAACACATGCACTCGCTTGTGCGACCGTCAACATTCCTGAATGGCTTCTAGGACGTCAGCACACATCAACAACACGTCACTGTCTAAGACAACCAAATATATAGGGACAATTGTAGGGTCATTCTCTCATTCACTAGTGGTCAGACCAGTCAGCCCACCAAGGTTCCAAACATCAATTGATTGATTGACCGGTACCTTTGGCAAGTTTCCACTAAGCAGCGCACAAGAAAATGGCACGAGGCATGAGGCGTGTGCCTTTAAATTGTTGATACTCCACTGGTCGCAGCAACAGTGTCAGTGGGGTGACTTGAACATGTATTCGTCCCCCAAGTGAAAAGGGAGGACCCGGCGGTTGGCCCAGCGATCGTCTCTCCTCCTTCTCTTTCTTGTCATAGAGCTTGGCCCAGGCCTATCAAACGATGCGGCACCTACTAAAGAAGGATTCTAGATGTCTGTCAGTAGGGGGTTCGTCACCTTGATGCTATGATAGATGTGGCAAGATTTAAGGCCTCTCCTGGGCTGTCACAACATCAAATCGTCGGAAAGCTGATGCCTCCTAAGGACTTGATTCCTGTGGTCTGCATGACCTTTGGTGCCGGCCCCGGCCAGGTGCAGTTGCAGCTGGTGAAGCCACAGAAAAGAATCAAAGAAAGCAGGACATCCAGCAAATGTGATCAAATGGGTGCGAGCACTTACTACAGCTACCCACAAAGATCCGCAACAAAAGGCCTCACTTTGGTCCTGAATGCCTCGCCGAAAGGTCATCACCTGGCAAGGAAGGAGGGACTTGGTGGGGAAATGGGGATTCTTTTTTGCGATATCACTGATATCACAAGCTTGGGCGCAACCATGCTGGGAAACATGCCAAAGGCAGGAGAACCTGACCGTTTCGACGGACTACTTGGCTCTTCAGCCATCCTCACTTGAGGCCAGGGGGAGGAGGTCGAAAGCTAGCCGAATCGCACCGGATGTACTACAGTAGTTACATAGTCGGCAAAGCATGTAGTGATTACATGTTTTGGGAGAAAGGTTGCTACGTACATACTTTGCGCTAAAGAATGTACATGTGACATCGCCGACTGGGAAGGGTACATTGGAACTCGTTGGCAGGCACGAAGATGCGTGATCGGCAAATCTGGGGGTTAAATTTACCCCCCGCTTTAAGAGGGGTAATAATTTCTGACATCACACGGACTGTACATACACTAGGGCGTCCGTAGTGTAGGAGAAGCACGGGTAAAAGGTATATGGAATAGAGTGTCTTGAGGAAATAGCCGGTGT